GACAACTGCTGCTCGGATAAATGAATTTTTGAAACCGTGAGGACAACACTTCTTGATCGGTAATTCATAAACAGACACATGAACGAGGGTTTCGTTAGAATTGCATTCTACGGAGGTGAATGTAAGGACACTGCGATCTCATAACAACAAAGCAAACATAAATATAGAAACATAAAGTCTTGAAACAAGAGTACCTTCGTCGAACACCGTCTCTTCCGGTGGGTCCAACAGATAGAGACGTTGCTAGGCTGCCATTTCTGACAGCACTGTAGAAGCAGCTCGCGGAACTGAGCCGTGAACCGGAACTTGGTCGCCAGCTTGTGCTGGTGCTGCAGCTTTCGCCAGACAGAGCTCATTGCAGGCGTTATTGGCACTGGCAAGAGTAAAACAAGCAAAAGGGCCTTAGAAGCTTCGAGGCGCCGATGCGCAGACAACCGATCCGAACGAAAGACGGGCTACCGTCGACTTCGTCACTGTTTGCTGTGTTTTTGTAGATCATCTCGGCTGCTCCTACTACGGCATTAAGTCTACCACCCGCGATCTAATCGATTCGATTCCAGGCTATGAATCGCAAAAAGGGCATAAATCTTGATTCATCCGGGACGACGTAACCGCGATCACTTTCCCACGATCTGATGGCACGCGTTTTAAAACGATATTTCTAGGGCAATGCACTTACCGGCGAAATGCTCAGTCTTCAAATCACACAAGGCGGAAAATAACGTCAAGTAGCAAAAAACAAACGGATCGAATAAGAAAGCGAATCATACAATGAATGCAGCAATTATATGCACTGATCATATAAGCACAACAAATTGTATGCGGATTTTCAGGAAACATAAGCTAAATTAGAGGCACAAACGAAAGTGTACAATGACTTGGCCTCAACAAGACTATAGCAGATTTGAACAACTGTTTTCTTTCATAAATGCGTAGTTCCGTTGTCGTAGATATTATAAATATGTAATTAAATTTTCAGCAATAACAAAGTGTGTCCAGTTGTTTGCCATTGGCTCGCTATAGTTCTTGTCTAATAACAAGAACAACAGATGTTTCATTTTCTGTAGATTATCACTTTCGATGAGGTACAATCAGATGGGACAAAGTAACCTGCGGGACTGAAACGAGCTCGTAAGAGACAGCATAGCCATATCCTTAGAAACAGATCATATTTCCCATCTCAGAAATCTGGAACTTGCAACCGTCAGGTTCATCTCTAACTAGCTGAGATACATGAGATGGCCCCTTCCCTGTGATTTAAGTGCATATCGCCGCTTTTTTGCCTGACATTCGCCACTGAACAACATTACAAATGATATGCTCTATCTCGTCTCTCACAGACCTTCTTTAACATGGCTTTTTTCGGTGACAGGATTGACCAGATTGTTCACTCCCTGCAAGGTTCGTAACCTAGATGCCGGATTCACGTTTTCACAGGGTTGAATAATTAATTTTTCTTTCAGGCTTATGCCCAGCCGATTTCTCTCGTTAATGATTTCCGGACAATCTGACAATCGGGGAATGTGAACTTTCTATGTTTGCAAAATCCGCGAAGTTTTGTGCATTATTCTTTACACAATCTGTTTCGTGTATTTATCCAAAACTATTTAACAAGCAGTACGCACTTCAAGCACTTTTTGGCTCCAAGATGTGCAGATCCTAGTGCAAACCTTGAACATCGATACTGTCTACATTGAATAAGACTCATTAGACATGAGCTAAAACTTTCATTCTGGTTAATCATTTAGCCAACTTGTGTTATGTATGAATAAACCGTTTTAATACATATTTCGGTATTATCACAATGCACGAACGAAAAACTAATGTTTTTGTTGTTCTGTATGATGTTGTCTCACCACCAAGGCTGTGTAAAGGATAAATTTGATGAGCTTTGTTAGTATATTATCAGTTGTCCGTTCTTCCCATTATACTATGGATGGTAGTAAGAATATATTTAACTTGGTTTTGCTGCGTCCCTTTCTACGAATGGTGCCCCTCACTTTTATCAGGGTCCCTATTCAATATTCTTACTTTCAGCGTTCTGGATTCATTCGGATCTCTTCGCCGCTCTTATTAGGAAGCCCAAAACCTGTCAGAGCACTCTTTTTGCGCTGATCGATGAAATCGGTTGATTGTTCCGCATCGTTTATATGCTACGTATAGGATACCTCTTTACGAACGCGCCAGTTACTCTATCATACCATGCTACAGCCTTTAATAGCTTCTGCTATAAAAATGGGCAATTGCTATCACAACTAAGTAATCAGGAACTTTTGCATGCGTTTGGTCTTTCAAAGATTTAATTACTGCAAAGACAGTGCAGAACTAGCTGATAGTGAGCACTTCCCTATCAATGTTATCGACAAACAGCAGACAGATTTTTACAAAATTCCTGAATTACTTTGACTACTGCGCTTTGAACATCTCTAAATTTTTGGACGTTAGGGTAAGATAATGATCATAAAGCAACAGCCAGGTTCATGCGCAGTAAATGCGAGAGCAAAACGTTGACAGGGAAATGGACGATGTCATTGTGGATATCCGTACTTTCGTACATAGACGTCATAGAAACACCATATTAGATTTACAAGGAACGGTGTGATAATCTATCACTGACTTTGTTGTTTACTTTCTCTTGTGAGTCGAATTAGTCCCTTATTATTCGGAGCTACCTCTGGTATCGAAAGCGACCTGTCAACTTTGTTTTAATGTACGGCGTCTATATCACCCCAACTGCAGCTATTTTAATAAAAATCGTTTTTTAAGTATTTCGAGACGAATAGAAATCAAATTGTTTTAGTAACCAAGTTGTGAATAATGTACTATGATGCGGTCAAAAAAGATATACTTTTTGGTCTGATTATATTAACTGATGTTCGCACTCAGTGACGTCATTACCAAGACATAATAGCAGAGAGGTATTTGGTGAGCGCAGATTTCTTCTGCAGCAGAAAACAATGGTTTTATGCTGTACATGCAACCTTCAAAATAAAAGGTGGGGCGTTTTTTCTAAGAACGAGCGGTCCTGTGGCATTCTACTAGAGTAAACACATAAAGCACTTCAACGGTATCTGCTACCAATCATGTTATAACAGCTTTATGGGCCGCTAAAGCAGACGTCAGGGGAAAACTGGCAAAGAGAACAAACCAAAGATTTCCATATCGCTGCTCATACAGAAATTTCAATAGACTACGTCAAATAAAATTTACGACATAGAGAGAACAGAGATATCATGAAAACAATGCAAAATGGCATAATGACACTTTTAATCATCTACAGTGACGTCACGAAATAGATACGAAAGAGATTCACCGTTGTACGTTCTACGAATGGCCTCAGACAGCATGATCGAAATGTCCACGGTTTTAATTTTGTGGCATTGCATTTTCTGTACTTCATGCGGAACTGTATTGGTTACAACAACCTGTAAAGCAGAATGCAAAAGTCATAGTTAATTTACGGAAACAGTAAAACAATAAGTACATGATAAGTAAACAAAGTATTTCCATTTTGTAACTCCAAGTTGCCGGTCCCTAGAACGGTTGAGAAAAGAGGACGGTTGGAGATCGTGGCAGACACGGTAAAATTAGGCCAACTACACCTCATGGTATTGACGTCAACGAAAATC